TGCCATGATCGCTGCCTATGTCTGCTCCAGGAAAAGTTCTGGTTTTAGCCTTGTTAATGCTTGACTTGAATCTTGCTGGGAACAGAATGTAGTCTATCTGGCTATGTGTTTTGTTGTCAGGTGAGTGCCATGTTGTTTTGCTTGATGTCTTATGAGGGAATAGAGTGTTGGCCAGTGTGAGCTTGTGGCAAATTCCAGCAGTCTTATTCCTCTCTCATTGGTTTCACCTAATCCAAAACGTCCAGCTGTGCCTGCCCATTGCTCATATGCATCTTCACCTACCTTAGCATTCCAGTCACCCATGACAATAAGAATGTCTTTTTTCGGAGCCTCATTAATACACTCCTCTAGTTCATCATAGAAGCATTCTACTTCCTCGTCCTGGTATTCAGATGTAGGCGCATAAACTTGTATTATTGTTATGTTAAGTGGTTGAGCCCTAACTCGTAGAGAAATGATTCTATTGTTTACGGGTCTACAGCTTATTACAGAGTTAACTTGTTTTTTGTTTACGATGAAACCCACACCATGTTGGTGTTTCTCTTCGTCCCCACTGTACCATATCTTATGACCCTCTTCTGTAGTTGTTACTCCCGAGCCTGTCCACCTAACTTCTGATAAGCCTAGGATGTCCCATCGGTATTTACTGAGTTCGTGGGTCAGTTCTTTTACTTTCCCACAGGCATAAAGCGTTCGAACATTCCATGTTCCTATGACTGTGTCAGCATTTGGGAGTTTTATTAGTCGGTGTGTCTTAGTAGCTAACTTATCACTTCTGCCCTGTGACACGGCAGCAGAAAGCGCGGTCGTTGTTAAACCGGGCCCCGACCGATCCGGCATGGCGTTTAGTGATATTGTTCTCATCATAGCATTACACTGGGTTTGATAGGTCTTGACGGCACCCATCTCCTCTCCAAGACCGATTTTTCCTCAGGGTTGTCTCCCGAAGATGGACTGTCTTTCTGTACTTATGAGCTCCATCTGCCCAGTATTGGGTTTGATAGGTCTTGGTGGCACCCATCTCCTATCCAAGACCGATTTTTCCTCAGGGTTGTCTCCCGAAGATGGACTGTCTTTCTGTACTTATGAGCTCCATCTACCCAGTATTGTGTTTGATAGTTCCTGGTGGGAACTATCTCCTCTCCTAGAGCGATGTTCCCTAAGGGTTGTCTCCCTAAGGTGGACTTATATTACTTACCTTATCTTATTTACCTTACCATGTCTCCGCAACCGTAAGCCCTACAGAGACGAGACTAGTACCAGGAAAATACCGGGGTTTCCCTGCGTAGCCGTTCCCGCCTCTCTGGTGTCCCTGAGGTTGATGCTGCCTATTACAGACCTATGCCATAGCATACAACCTAATGTTGCGGAGCTAAAAGTGTCAGGAGCTACGCCTGTAGCATGACCTACAGGCCAAGAGACAGAGTATCCTCCCTAGTCTTTGAAAATCCCTAGTCGGCCGAGGAGAAGCTATGTGTCCTTGAGACTGGTGGTAGTGGATAGATCTCATCGAGGGCTATCCATTGGTATATAGCTTCTCTAGGTCCTGGCCTCCCTAAGGAAAATTGCAAGTCTCGGCCCTAAGTGCCCTAGCATAGTAAGCATGAAGCTAGCTAAGTCCGAAATCTGGCCTAAACATGAATAAAAATAATAAAACAGATAATAAGACTGTTTTAATACGACGCTTATATTACAATAGATAAGATATTTACAGGCAAGTCTCTTGGCAAAAGTACAAATCTAAAGTCTTGTCTAGCTTCAACTATTAAGAGAAGCAACACCTTGGGCTACCGATGATATAGCAGAAAATACAAGGCTGTGAACATGAACCTACCCTTAAGTCATCGTCGATTAATCTTCTCACATCCTGAAAGCTAAAGTCAGAAGAGATTACTCATACAGAAATTATTGTTTCCTTTAATCTCTAGAGGAACAGAAATATCGGATACCGTCCCTTTAGTCACAACACAGCCCAAAAGGAAGTCATCATGGCTGAAGAGAGGTACGCAGCGTATTCGCGAGCATAGAGGAAGCCTTGGTCTACGTGGCGAATACCCAAGAGTCAGACCGACGATGATACACAAACGGGACCCACGGACCGGTCAGAAGTGACAGGAGGTCATTTCAGTCTGATCTTGCCAAAAATCTCACGGCGAACATCAAAAGCTTGTACTGATTCATATCGGAGAGATAAACAACCAACCAGGGGGCATGCGCCTCAGTATCTCACCAGTCTGGAAATGGCTGAAACATTTAGTTCGCCCCACGCCAAACAGTTAAACAGCAATGTCGGTATTACTGGTATGCATCAAAATAGCAACACCACTAGTTCACCTCAGGGAAACCAAGTGGCTACTCTCCAGATAAACCAGGCAATACTACTACGGAAGCTACAGAGACTTACATCTAGGAAGTCACCAGTTCGCGACGACATCAAGCCATCCGTTGTCAAATAGTGCGCCGGAGCTCTCTGTAGGCCCCCTATGCGGCTTGTTCCAACACTCGATCTATTCGGGGAAACTGCCAAGAGAGTGGAGGAAGGCAATCCTTTTCCGATTTTCACGGGTAGGGACAGTTATAGACTCCTGGTGGTATCAAAAGTACTGGAAAGTCTAATTGATGGTCACATTAGGGAGCACCTTGGTAGGAATAATAGACTCCATCATGGTTTCAGGAAATGCGGATCCCGCGTAACAAACCTACCCTCAGCTTGAGACGATTGGGCATTATGCTGGGATATGAATATTCCAATCCACGAGATCTTCATAGACTTTGAGGAGGCATTTAACACAGTTCAGCATGACCTCCTACACAAAGTAAGTCGGGCAGGCATAGGTGAGCCGCTTCTGTCATGATTGAGGGACTACTCAGATGAAAGAAAATTCTGCATTTAGGTCAATCGAGTTCGATCATCTTGGCACAACTCGTCACCAGGAGCGTCGGAGGGCTCTATCCTGGGTCCATTGATGTTTTTGATTTTTATCAATCACCTACCATGCCCTCTAAACTGCCCCTCTCTTTCAAACAATGAAGACATAAAGATTTGGAGAGAAATAAAGTGTTCGGAAGACTTAGATAGGTTACAGGGAGGCCTGCAGCTTTTGGAAGACTGGGAGGTGGCCAGTGGTATGAATTTCAACCTGAGAAATGAAAAGTAGTGAAATTACGCACCTGCAGGCTGCCGAATGCAAGTTAGGCCCTGTACAATGCAAACTTGTCCTGCGCAACGTCGGAGCGTTACTTAGGTTCAGTTCTAACGGAGAAAATGGACACAAGTTTGAATTACACAGGGACGTAGCGATGGCATGTGCGATTTTACACTTTATACAGTTAGGCGGTCTCATTCCTGAGCTCTTTCTATGGTTGCACAAAACATACGTCAGACCAAACCTTTAAGTGCATAATTTTATTGCACCTCTTCGGAAAAGACCAAAGACTGGAGAAAAAGGAGTGGTGGGTCTCCGAAATAAACCATATGATGCAAGGCTAAAGAAACTAGGCGTATTTTTACTTGGCTACCGTTGGCTTAGGGAGGATTGGATTACTGTCCACGAGGTATCGAATGACTAGAATCACCCAAACAAAGGTGTTCTGCCATTGAGTAGGTATAGGCTTCCTCGTGGAAATCCCAAAATGATAGCTCACCAGAGGGGAAGGACCTGGGTGCAATCCCACTTCTTTTCACTGTGGGTTTGCCGTTCCTGGAATTCATTACCGGCAGATGTGGCTATGGCACCGTTTGTGGACGCCTTTAAGCGATGGCTGGACAATCATGCAGCGACACAAGGACTGCGTCCAAATGGCCTATCCCATTAATATCCCATAAACCATTCGAGGGTTTACAACTAAGTTCGTCGTTTTACGTCATTACATCCTCTCCCGTCTTACTCTCCTGACAACTCCAACTACACTTACTATTATTATCACTGATATATATATATATAAAATTCAAATTTAATTAGCTGTCTATTTTTACGTTTTCTTCATTTCTTTTTCTGTCTGTTAGTCTGAATAACTTCCCTAATTATACCTATTATTATTATTATCATTTTTCTTTTGACGACGATACCGTAGGACTAACTAGCAAAAGGATCAACTACATTCAGGGTAGCAACAAAGTCTTAACTCACCGTATAATACAAACCCCATATAATTAATCCAAGCACTACTCCTTTTGGAGTCAACCAAAGCTGCGACAGTCGAGTGGCCGGACAAACTACACAGAAGTTTGCCAAAGACAAGTAGCTTTTGCCTCACAATCAATAAGCAAGCACAAAAAGATCAAATTAGTTTACAATATCTTGTAAAAACCATACTGGATATTGAAATATAGATTTTATACCCATATATCCTTATTCTACAACTACTTCCTCAATATGACGTATTCTTTGAGTGTTTTCAGTTCATATGAGGTTGGCCAGTAATACAGTAGCTCCGATTCTCAGAGGCAACACTATATTGAAGAGAATCATGCACTTCATTAGAGATCAATTGAAGTCCATTCCCGGAGTGCAGTCAAAGGAGCCACAAAAAAAGAAAAGAACCTAAGTACTGGAATTTACCACAGATGCAGAAATGTCCATCAGCTATCAGTACTCAAATATTTTTGTGAAAGCCCATCAATAATATATTAAATATTGGATATTTTAGTTGATAAGAACTTACAGGCATCAGTTTGTTTAACCATGTCATTACTGTAAATAACAATTCAGGCAGTTTTATGAATTCGTTAGATGTTGTATCTCTGTGGTTTATTTTTAATACACTCAGTATTGAGTTTTTCTACTCCTATCAGATGGGAAAAACACCACACACAAGCAGATATTAAAAGTATTTTGGAAACAGTAGCAACAAAATGTCCCGATATAACTAGTTTATATCATTTAACGTCCGGCGACATACATACTACGGAGAATGGGAACTATTTATTTGTCATCGCACTAGGGAAACATGCCAATCAATCTAGCAGAGTGGTTCCTAATTTCAAATACATTGCTAACATGCATGGAGATGAGGCTGTCGGAAGGGAGTTACTACTGCGTTTGGCTGTTTACATATGTGATGAATACATTTCGGGGAATGATTTTATAGAAAATCTGCTGAGTGGAACAACAATACACATTTTGCCATCAATGAATCCTGATGGTTGGGAAGTTGCTTCGAGAAATGTAATTGGTTTCAAGTTATTGTAATTATTTGCATATTTAGAGGGATTCTCAATCACTTGGAAGGTACAACTCCGAAGATGTAGACCTCAATCGAGATTTCCCTGATCTAACAAGGAAATTCTATCATAACTTAAAGTATGGAGGCCCTCTGGACCACATTGATCCCGATGAAAGCGATGTAGAAAAGGTAAGTTTCTGATTTAACTACATTTATACAAATTAAATGCCGTGTCTGCGTTTCGCTTTCCTACTATAAGCAGTTTTGCTAAAGTATTATCAGTACGAATGAAGGCATTCAGTTTAGCTATTATATTTTAGTCGCGTTGGCAAAGTGGAAACCTTTCTATGAGAGGCATTGCTGACAAAACGTTTAGTAAAGCATCACTTGTTTCATAACACTTTATTAGTACAATATTCTGTTGGTGCTAAATTCAGCATCCATCACTATATGATGATAGTAGTAGGTTGGTTAATGAGGAATAGTATACAAATTCAGGATGCTGATTGACTGTTCGCCATACCTCTAGGAGTCTAGGCAAGAGAATAAACATTGTTATCTCATTTCTGATTAAGATGTCCCCAGATCACGATTTCCCACTGTTTCTGAG